GGAGGATTACGCAATAGTTCATACACTTGCCATTTTGGCGCTGGCATCTAGGAATCTTGGGTGTTGTTGATAAAACAGGAACCAAGTTTATCATTTACTATTTGAATTTATTTTGTTTTGTGGATGGTTTTGTGGTATTGTTGTATTTTATTTATTGTTAATTGATTATAAACTATAATAGGACAATGGTTTTTGTGTGTTGTGGACCGAATTGTGATGAAAATGTAAGTAAGAATTAAAACGCTTATATATAAAGGAAACAATTGTACCGTAAATTTGTAACCTATATACAATATTTTTATTACACTTTCTTTCAGGTATACGATATTTGGGTAAAGAGGATTGGTAATCATACACTGAAGTCTTGATCCTCAAATTGCTTATAGGAGATACAGAGTATGCGATAAGCAGTGAATTTTGTCGAACTCCTGGGGAGAAAAAGTTAAAATATGGAAGTTTGCCCATATTATTTTTGCCAGGTAAATATATAAAAACTAAATAAAATATTGTGTCAATATTTTTGTATGTGTACTTTAGATTTTCATGAAAGTCCGACACAGGAAAATTCGCTTTATAAATATGGAAGTTGTGAAACAGAAACTCATTTGGAAGTACCAGATCCTATTCCAAGCACTTCTACTGAATGCAATACACCCAATATATATTCTGAAGTTCAAATCACATTAAGGCAGCCAGGTAATTTCGCATTTACTTAACCAGAATTAAAATTTTTAAAATGTTTCCAATTTACATTTATAGATTAGTATATTCTTTTATTGGAGGTTATTTGCAATATAAATTAGTGACTACTGTAAAATAAATATAAATCGTTGACTGAAGTATGTACTATTTTTAATCAACGCATGAATTTATTTGCAGTGTCCTTTACAGAATTTTATTTGATTATTTAGTAATACTTTTATAGAACTGTATAAATTGTAATAAATTCAATTCTCTTTAAAGGTGAAGAAGAGGATAATCCATTTATTTCAATACCAGGTACTTCAAGGGATTGTATAACCCCAACCGAACAGCTATAGTTAGTGCGGTAGACTCAATTACTGAAACTTCATTAAGATATAAAGGTGCTTACTTTATTTTAAATAGTATGTGTAAATATTTGTATTAGACTTGATTCTATTAGTAAAAGTGTAGTTTAAACAAATTTAACATTTTTGAATTTCAATTTGCATATTAAGCTTATTTTGAATAAAAGAACACGGCCTATATTATAATATATACCTTGTGTGTTTGTGTGGTCTAGCTTGTAAAGTATTTTAATATATATATTTTATAGTATAATATACACAAAACTGTTTACAACAGTGCAAAGAAATCATTTGAAGTACATATTAGGTAAGTAAAATTAAAAACAAAATAAGCAATTGTATCCTTTAGAAAGAAACAACATTTTAAATAATATCTATATCACTTGTATTGTCTGAAATTACTTTTCTGTGGCAGTATTTCGTATTTTAGAGTTTGAGTATTTTTTGCCATTAACAATTAAGAAATAATCCCATGAAGTAGAAGGATTATTGATGAAGGGTTTGTTTTAATAAACTTACTTTTGCTTAAAATGATTATATTTTATACTAAGATTGTAGATAATATACTTAAAAAAACACTATTGTACATTACTTTGATGACGTTTCAAAATTTAAAGTAATGTGGCATACTGTCTCTTTATGGTATATTATTTACAGTCTCAGTATGAGATATAATAATTTTAGGCAAAATTAAGTTTATTATTTAATATTATCAATATATTTTAAAAGTCCCGCTAAATGACTTCTACTTGATACACTTGGCACATTGGCGCTGATGCTTATTTCAGTCCTTCCCCCTCCACTCGAGATAGCTATCTATATTTATCTATTGTCTCTGGTCCCGACATAGCTAATAAACAAGAGACAACTCTGTCGTTTGAAGGAATAAACTGATTGTTGAAATTATGTGTTTTAATTGGGGGTGAAAACCCCCATGGTTGTTAGCGTATACGTATACACTCGAACAATCTTTTAATTACACCACAACACTCCGATCTGCGCGAATACCCCCACCACGCCAACTTATAATTCGGATTGTTTTATCTTCTATATCCGAACACTGAAGTCCGCTTAGGGATTACATTGCTTTTCCAAGTGTCAAAAATGAGTTACGTGTATAGCAACTCGGAGTTGTTGGATATCGTTTTTAATTTATGGTAAAGCAAGACAACATTTGTGTTATTTATTTATTTATTTAAAATTACACTGCTCACTGGAAAATCTCAGTTACAGAGCAGGAAAAAAATATATAGTAAGCAATTACAAAATAGAGTAGAAAAAACATAAACACTATAGGAAATACATAGAAAATACAACAATATATGACAAACAATAAAACATATTAAAACAAAGTTATCCTAAAAATATTTTCTTAATACTAGGTAATGTCGTATGGAAAATATCAAAGTTGTCCTGCAAATTAGCAAAATTACGACACATTACATATAAAGGAGAATAGTGCAATACATTAGTTCTAGCCGTTCTCAAATAAAAAGTCTCAGTAGTACGAGAGGTAGTCCTAGGGACATTGAAATTAAGTTTGCACAGTAATTCAGAGCAATCAATATTAGCACAAACCAAATTAAAAAGGAAAATAACACTATGCATATTACGCCGAATCGCTAAAGATTTGTAACCGTACTTTACTAGAAGTAAGTGCTGCGAATAACCGATAGGTATAGATGTTTTAGTTTCTTTTTAATGTAAAAATTTTAAAAATCTTCATTGAGTTTTCTTCAAAAGATTGATGTGGTTTACATTACATTTACCCCAAATAATAGAACAATACTCCAGTCTTGATCTGACGAAACAGTTGTACAACAACTTTATGGTGTCCACATTAGAGAATTCACGAGAATTACGAATTACAAAACCTAAACTTTTGTTAACTTCAGAAATTATTCTATTTATGTGAAAGGCAAAATTCAACTCTTGGTCAAAATAAACCCCTAAATCATTAATAAAATTGGGTTTATCACGAAGGACGTTATTTATCGTGTATTGATGATTAAAATTAATCTTTTTACGAGAAAAAGTGAAGGTTTTGCATTTGCCAATATTCAGTGGCAGCCCATTAGATTCACACCAAAGATTAAGTAAGTCAAGGTTTTCCTGTAGATTAACGCAGTCCTGAACTGTTTTTATCCTTAAACATATTTTTATATCATCAGCATATAAAAGATGAGGGACATTCAAACATCCAACAACATTGTTAATAAATATGTTAAATAATAATGGACCCAAGATGGATACCTGAGGAACACCTGACACAACCGGAAAATTGTTTGATGTGAAACCTCTGAAATACGCGTATTGAGTCAGAAAGATATGAATACAAAAGATGTAGCAAAGGCAATGAAAGGCCACATTTGTTAAGTTCACGTAGTAAGATATCGTGATGTAACCGATCAAATGCCTTGGAGAAATCGGTATATATCACATCCACTTGCTCTTGATTATCCAAAGGCCCTGATAGATATTGTGTAAAGCATGCATGTAAAGTTTGTTGTAGTGTATCGACCTCGCATAAAGCCATGCTGGTTGAAACTGATAGTATTCTTTACATGATTGTACATCATATCATGAAGAAGATATTCAAATACTTTATTAAAATTATTTATTATAGAAATAGGGCGGTAATCACATTATTAACAACTCCCTTTTTAAAAATAGGACACACACGCGATAATTTCCAAACATCAGGTATCTTGTTGCTAGTCAAAATTAAGTTAAAAGTTGTTCTTAATGGTTTGAGAAAAATGTGAGCACAGTCACGAATTAAAAAGGCTGGAACGTTATCCGGTCCCATTGTCATCTTAGGTTTTAATTTTTTTAGACAGTTTAAAATATCATCATCACCGATATAATGTATCATTGAAACATTATTATTGCCTTCACAATACATTTCCTAGATATGGGTCATATTTTTAGCATCCGCAACATAAGCTGATTTAAAAAAATCTACAAAGCCCTCTACCACATCAGAACCTGATTCAAGAATATCATCTTTATAAAACATATTATGTGGCATGGATTTGTTTTTTCGTTTATTGGACACATATGACCAAAATTTTGTAGGTTCGTTTTTAGTGTTAGATTCAGCCGTTTGTGGGAAAATTTTATGAGCTTCAGCTATGTCTCTTTTAAGCTTAGATCTTAAATTTTTAAATGATTCGTACATGACATGGTTTCTATTTTTTTTTATAGTCATTCCATAATTCCTTTTTCCTTTTAATGTCGCGTATAATGGCGGTATTAAACCACGGAGGATATTTAATTTTATTATTATTGACATATGAGAGCGGTACAGTTCTGTCGAAAACACTTTGTAATATTTTATAAAAGTCATTACAAGCTTCGTCAACATTGTTACAATTGTCTATAGCCGACCAATTTGTATTTAAAAGTTCATCATATAGTGGTGAAAAATTTGCTTTTCTGAAATTATAAGATTTTAAAATAGAGTCTTCAATGTTGTTCGTAATACAATTATTCCAGGCAATCGTTATTTCTAAAGGTGGATGGTGCCCATCCTCATGAACTACATTTGTGGTTCAGAAACGGAACAAGGTAGAGAACTAAAAACCAAATCAAGAAGGCGATCATTAGAGTTGTAAATATTGTTATACTGTTTTAAAGAAAAGAAATTGATTACTTCATTCATATGCGCTACTAATGCATCATTGGTTCGAAATTGGGGAATATTAAAAATCTCCTAGTAAAATAATGTCATGGTTGAACAAAAACTGCAAGGACATGAGTCCCTCAGCAAATAAATTTAATAATTGATCTATCGTTATTTTTGGCGGAATATAAAATAGTACAACATAGAATGTTTTTTTTATTCCTAGAAACTTTAGCTATTATAATATCTATCATAGGGACTTGTTTAAAGTAATCGTTTTGTGTAACTGAAACATTAACGGCAGTAATTGACTGTTTAAATGCTAAAAGTACACCACCGCCTCGGCTTACATTCATTTCTCTAAAGATTCTGTCACAACGCATTACTGAATAATTTGTACTAAATAGTTCAGAATTGAAAACACCCGATGATAACCAAGTTTGAGAAAGTGCAAAAATGTCATACATATCACTTAACATAGCTATGCTGTTATATAATTCAAATAGTTTACTGTTTAATCCTCTAACATTCTGATAGTATATATAAAAAGATCTTTTGTTATCAATTATTATAGGTGAGATGTACTCTGAACCATTTGATGAACAATTGTAGAGGCCATTGATAGAATTGTCAATAGACACAGATTGTAATGGTGATTGCTATGTTATATCATCTTGCTTTCCTATTTCTCTTTTCGATTTTTTTTACAAATTTGTATTTGTAAGAGTCTCCTGCATATCCAAAATTTTTTTTTGATAAGATCTGAATCACAAGATTTATGTTACTGTGAAATACATAAGTTGTTTTACGATCGTTTCTACCCTTGTTTCAACGACCGTTGTATTTATTCCAGAAGGAACGAAATGTCTCTTTATCTGATACGCAAAATGGTAGGTTACATGCAGTTAACGTGAAACTAAATCAAACATAAATTATGTCTTCTGGTTTCCGCCAGTTTAATATTTAGTATTCTTTTGTTTATTACTATTTATTTTAAACAAGGTTTTTATACATAAACGAATATGTATATAGGTACTGAATATAATTACATTATTATTTATACAGAGCCTTCATAAATGATTACAAGCCACGTGACCAGTATTTTTGTGTGGAACAGTAATCTTATTTCCTTCACGTTGACAACAGCGATCGCATATTTTCGAGCGTAGACGTAACGGTTTGTCATTGTTCATTGTAAATGAATCATTAATATTGGTGACGCTAAGATTTACGGAATTTTCATTACCAGTATCAATGGTGCAATGTTGGGTTGCCTAAACTCGGCGGTCACGTGCCTTGCAAAGATTTAAGAAGGCTCTGTATTTCTTAGTAAAATAAAGTATTATTTATTGTTTAATCT